TGCGAGAAGCTGTGCTACGAGGCCGACCGGCTCCTGGATGCCTCCCGGACTAAGGAGGAGACCGGAGACCTCGATGCCGCCATACTCATGTGCAACAGTGCCGCGTCCAAGGCTCGCGCCGCCATGGATGCCCCGTACAACAACCCTCAGACCATCACCTTCGCTCGTATGAAGCACAACGTCTGCATAATGCGGATGAGGAGTCTTCAGCGACGGGCTGTGAGCCGACAAGAGTCCTTGAATTCCCACGGATCCTCTGCAAGCGACGATCAGGACTCCAACAAGAATGCCGGTACGCTTCGATTCGCCAAATGTAATTTTATCCAATTTTTGCACGAATACTAATGAATATTTATTTGCAGATATTGGACTGGAAGGTCGACACAGCCGACAGGGGAGCCGCGACTCGACCCGAAGTCGCTCTAGTGTGTCTCACAGTCGCCAGTCAAGCAAGGACAGTAAGGACTCCATCAAGGCTTCCCACAGTCGCCAGAACAGCAAGGACGGCCTGGTAGAGCCAAAGTCTTCCCAGAAAAGCATCGAGATCTACGCCACTTTGCCCAAGAAGCACGGGAAGAAGAAGGCCGAAGCGGCCCTGGAGGCCTTGGAAAAGAGCGAGAAAGAGGCGGCCGAACAGCTGAAAAAGTCCAAGTCCAAGGAAAAGGACAAGGACAAGGACAAGAAGAAAGAGGAGAGCAAGAAAAAAGAGGAGAAGAAGGAAGAAACCCCCAAAGAAGACAAGAAGAAACTCCAGCGGACGCCATCGGGGCCGACCTCCCCCGAGCCGCCCGGTAAAGACGCTGAGAAACCCCCGAAGAAGCAGCACAAGATCCGTCGGAAGCTCCTCATGGGAGGGCTGATCCGCCGGAAAAACCGGAGCATGCCGGACCTCCGGGAAGGCCAAGACGGGAACCCCGCCGAGTCCCCGGCCTTCGACGACGCCGGCAGCGTGAAGAGCCTCTCCAGGCCCAGCACTCCGTCGTCGGAAAAGTCCAACGGCTACCTCTCGGAAGGAAACTCCGAGTACTCTAATCCGAACCTGGAGCGCTCGCGTCTGATGCGCAAGAGCTACCACGGTAGTGCCAAAGGACTCCAAGCCGCCAAAGTGCCTCCCCCTGTGCCCGCAAGGACGTCGTCCAAGCTCACCATCCGTCCTCGTTCCAACAGCCACGGTCGCATCGAACGTTCTCTCAGAGTGGTCGACGGCTTTGGAAACTTGAACGACTCCTTCTGCAGCCAGAATTCGGAGCCCAACGGCCGACCTCGCGAGAGCGACAGCGAACTCGAAGGCCGACCTGAACTCCCGCCCCGCGGTTACTCCCCCGTCTCTCGCGGCCGACCCGGTCGTCCCGACCGGGACGACATTGTGCAAAGTGTACAGCCTCACTCCGTCCAACAGAGTACAAATCCTTCTCCTTTCCCTCGTCCTCTTCCCCCGAGCCACAGAGCCGGCTCGGAAGCGCCCTTAATGCA